AAAAAAAAAAGTAAGGGTACCAGTGTTGTAAGACATCATATAGAATTGACAATATGCAAAAGAAGCTTGTGTTCCATGCAATTATTAAATGTTACATTTAAATACTATACTTAAATTTTATCTACAATAATTTTCGTAAGAAAAACAGGCACATTTTACTTTCTTCCATGTAAGAAATGGTACTTATGGTTTAATTTACCCTTACTACAAAGTCCTTGCCCCTAATTGCAAGACTCAGGTTCCTTCACAGTCACATCTCCTTTCACAATCAGTGGCTGGATCCACTATTCGAGGAGCATCTCAATCCGAGTTTTCATCTCAGAATCCATTCTCACCCCTCCACCTACCTGTCCCACGCCGGTGTAGCACCTGAATACCAGACAGATTGCTACCTGTTTAGGTTTTTTCTGGTTACAGCCACTTTACACTGAGTTCCAGGGAGCATCAAAACCAATCTAGACATTGTCCATATGGCTGATTTGTTCTACTGCATAATGAGCTCCCTGATGGAAGGGACTGAAGCTTAGTACCTAGAATAGGGGCTGGCGCTTGGTGGGTGTTGTAATTCCATGTCTGAACAAGTGGCATTTACATTAAGAATCTGCGCCACGCGCATCTAACATCTACTACGTATTATGTATTGTTTCACTATTCAAGGACCATCTCAATTATTTTTCCTAATTGTGGGGCAAAGCTTCTACAGGATTTTATATCAAAACATTTTATTTTCATGGCAAAATGAGATGTGAACTTTCTGGCTGCCTGGAAAGATGGGATGGTCTACAGCAGTGATGGTGACCCATCATTAGAGCCTTCAGTGGTAATAAGCTGCTGGGCCCCACATGTCACCATGGCGGCCACCGCAGGTCTAAAGACAGTCATAGAAATAAAAAAATCTAGAGTTACAGAACTGTAATCAAGGGTAACTTTTAAAAATATGAATGGAAACATAACTAGAACTCAGCTTCTATACTGGGCGTCACCACAGGTACACACTGGCATCCTAGCTCTCGTCTCCCACCCTCTAGGAGGAAACTGTTAATGTGCCTGCTTTCGAGACCAGGAAACAAAAGGTAAAGCACAAGCAGCTCACTTACACTGTTGGCCCTGCTGGGAACATACAAACCACCTACTTCTTTCTGATCAAGCTGAAGAGAGGATTTTATTAAGTCTCGGAGTGCAGTTAGCTGTTTCTTCTCCTCATCCTGGGTCTGTTTTATCTATGAAAGAAAAAAATTACTTCTATTATATATTGTTTATGCTTTTATGAATGCAGTTTAATTTATTCAAATATAGTACTCATCAATTCAATTATACAGTTGATTTTACTAAAGTCTGTCTCTTTTTATACAAGAGGCAGTTTTCTCATCTTGAGAAAGTACTGGTAAATTCTGAACTTAGGCACCATGTTCTCTTAGTAATCCATCTACCTTAGACAATTATCTCTGAGGCACTATTTCAAATAGAGTTAAGATATAATACTGCAGCCAGGCATGTGGGCTATGTCTGTAATATAACTACTTGGGCAATTGGGACAGCAGGATCTGAAGTTTGAAGTCCGCCTGGACAACTTAGTGAGACACTGTCTCAAAATAAAACTTCCAGCAGGTTTTGACTGAAGCTGAGCGGCACAGTGCTTTGCTAACATGCACCGGCAATGAAAAAGGAAGTAGAGAAAAAAATAAAAAATCATGCTTCTGGCTTTTTAAAGGGTGGCAACAAGAATACCAAGATGTGATAAAATGGGCCAGAAGAACTGTATGAACCACCCAGAATCCAGTGGACCAATGCGTATACAAGAGTTTATGCAGAAGTACATGAGGAATAAAGAAGCATGATAGTTTTAAAAAAATTATTGGAATTTAATTATAACATAAACCATGTTATCTACAAAAATACATTATGTATTTTTATGGTATTTTTTCTTTTTTAATAATATTTTTATTTTCCATATTATAAAACAGATAGCAAAGGTTATTGGTTCAAAAATCAGTGCATAACTATACTCAATCTAATTTATTTACAAATGCAAATAATAAGTGTAATTCTACATATATTCACCATTGCATATTCTCCAAAAGCAAGCAACAATATACACAGTTATTATAATGTTGTAATATCTCAATATAGCCAAGGGGACAGTATACAAAGAAGAATATTTTACCTGATAGGAATTAGGTTCAGTTTTTCCATTTTAAACTTTATTTTCTTCTCCCATATTTTTAATTAAAACATAACTGTCATATAGAATAAGTGGTTTCATTTTGGCAGATTTGTGTATGCACGGAACATACTTTAATAATTCCCTCCCCCCAACACCCCCATCCCACCCTTTCCCTTATTTTTGCAGTTTTTTTTAAGTTACACAAAAATACAGGATGAACGTTTTTATCTGAAAACTTGCAGGTATTTTCAGTGCACCCGCACTGACCACCACCCGCCGGGGCAGCAGCGCTGCTCTCCACCGCGTCAGTCAGCGCTCGGAGTTCCAGAATTCGCAGTCTTGGGTCTCAGATGTTCGGCTTAGGCATACTCACCCTGTGCATTTGCAGTATGTGTGACTTTAAAGCCTTATCTAAGATATATACTTATATTCATAAGATACTTTTTAATACTGATCACTGAGTGGTTTACAGGACAACATACTTGTCAGTTCTAGGTATGGAGTTAGTGTTTTCTCAGAGGTTTCTTCTCAATTTTCCATTATTATAGCAAAACCTAGATACACTAACAAACAGAATAAAGCACAATACTAGATAAAACAATTCATCAGCTTCCAATTCAGAGGCAGTTACTTTTTATCCTTCCATGATTAGGCATTCTTTCTGCAACTGCTGACCAAAAGGCAATGCAACCTGAAGCTACTAAGCCCTAAAGAGAGAACCACCTAGAACCAATGGCTACACGTTTTCTTTCCAGAAACTCCCATGCCCCAAAAGATGAACTGCAGTCTGACCACTGATGACTTCTCTGAATGACACAGAAGGATTCTCTGGTTTTAAACTGACATATCACTTAATCTTTTCTGCTTCTAATACAAATTTCAGATTTACTGTTTTTAATCACAGGTCAAAATGTAAACACTGTACAGGAGGATACTTACATTATATAAGTCAGCAGCCAATTTTTCAATGTATTGCTTCAATTTATCAGCTGTTTTCAAGCCATCTTGAAAGAAACTGCAATGGGAAACAATGGCTATTTACCAGTAATATAAAAAGAAAAGGAACCATGATTACCCACAAAATCTGAAAATACACACACGTCTCACAATACACTGACCCCCTAGCCCCAGCATAAAGCCAATTTCAGTATTTGATAAAGCTGTACCAACACACTGTGGCTGCTACTTGACATCTGACAGGAGATATCAGTCTATATAAATTACAACTGTAGTCCTCACATTTCATAATATGTATACCCAACTCTTATGTAGGGGAATTAATGACAATGGATTTTATTGCAATAAATTAAAAAAAATAAACATACACTGTATATTTTGATCATACTCTGTAAGTTTACCTTTTTGAGGAATTCCCAAACTTCTGGATAGCGATTATACCATTTCACATTACCAGTAAAGCATAGTTTGGATTTCTTTATATGTTCTCTAAGATTTATTTTGTATTTTTGTCTGTTTTACTTATACCCACTCATGGATATGAAGTGGGTATCTTGCTGTGAATCTGCACTTTCCTGATGACAAATGATGCTGAATACTTTTTCATGTGATTTTTTTGCTGTATCTCTTTTAGAGAAATGCTACTTAAAATCTTTGCCTGTGTAAAATACTGAGTTGTTATCTTTTTGTTGCTGGGTTCATTGTACACTGGATCTAATTAGATCAGTGATTTGCAAGCATTTTCCCCACTGTGTGGGTTGTCATCTCTCATTCTTGTCAGTACCTTTTCATAAACAAGTATGAAATTTTGAAATCCAATTTATTTTCTCTGACTTCCTGTGCTTACTATGTCTATTGTGCCACATATTTACTGACTATTAAATGAACAAATGGGACTTTGGGCAAGTTGTTGATCCTTTTTGAGCTATAATTTCCTGAAATGCTGAGAATATTAAATGAGAAAATACATGTAAATATCTTTGGCAGGTTCGATATCCTGGTCTGTAAAAGAAGCTCTTATTATTGTATGTAAGATGAACGATAATAAGGTCATGTTTGGAGTGCTGTTCCTCTGCAGATTACAATGATAATCTAGCAGGAAGAGGACACATTTGTTTTTGAGAGTAGTAGGGTATTGACGATGTTCACTGTTCATGTTTGAAAGTGAGGAGCAGTGAGTGTGGGTGAGCTGAAAGGTTGAACAAAGTTACACTTCTTTTATGCTTCCCATATTCTTTCACTGTGTAGCTGCATCCACACTCCAGTGTTATTATAAAATGCTATAAAGGGAAATGCACTGTTAAATACCAGCTGAGTTTATACTGAAAATATGTGGAACTGGAAAGAGTACTGAGAAAGAAGTCTTTTAAACAAAAATCGGGGTATAGACTGCTTTACAGGTCCTCAGTACATCTAGTCAATGTCTTGGTCCTTGACTGCTTTCAGTTGCCTAGAATTTGGTACCTGACACATTTTGATGGGAAAATTCTGTCCTGTTCCTCATTATCTGGTGCTTGGGACACAAGCTCGACTTTGCTGATGTCGACTGTCAGGGAACTCACTACTGTTTCCAGCCAGAACAATTTGTTTGGTACCTGTTGTTTAGGTACACGTTATGCTTCCTGAAACCAATTAATGACAAGTACTGAGGTGTCTTGTACTGAGAGCTGTGAGGACTGAATGAAGTAAAAAAGAATAAAAATACTTGAAACAAAACCCACCCCGACATCTTGCTGAGATGAAGTTCATGGGTCCAACCACAAGCCTGCTTACAGCCAAGTTCCATTTTACCCGATTCTGCCCCTTGCCTTCTTAGTACCTCTGTTTTCTTCCTGTGCAGTGAGATTCTGATCTCCCTTTGCCCTAGGCAGAGAGACTTCTGCCAGAATCTGGGGCCAAAGCCCAGCCAGTCCAATCGTCATCTCCTCCAGACACAGCATACCCTCCTCAGCAGGTCAGGACTCTGACCTTCTGACGCCCATGGCAGTCCCTGTGTAGCTCCATTATGAGTTCTGGTGTACATGACCTACTTCTCCTACCAATTACCTCCTGAGGGAAGTCTTAATTGGTCCCTACCCAAAACCTAGTAGAGTATCTGGTCTTGGTAGGAGTAAATATTGTGGGCAGGAAAAAGGGAAATAATAAAAAAAAGCATAATATATTATCCATATAAGTTGTGTTGCTCTTTTCACCTTTACTAACAATGATTACTAATTAAACTATCTATCTATCTATCTATCTATCTATCTATCCATATAAAAGTATCTCATATTCTAGAAAATTAATGTCTGTGTAGGTAAAACTCTCCTCTATAGACTTAAAAATCTGAGCATGTAAGAAATTTCTAAAATCCGATTTAACAGCCAAACTGTCATAATCCAAAAGACTGAGAGATTCATTTGTTCTGGCAAAAATTTCAAAGGACTGAAATATTTCTAAGAAAACTGAAGTACAGGAAAGACAAAAATTCCACCCAGAACTAAACTCAGGAACCAGTATAACACACATCAAAGTTTCGTAACTGCCATATTAGTGCAGATTTTCTGTTGACAAACTTCACCCTATAAGTGCGGAAATGGTTTCCTCTTTAACATATTTATTTCTGAAACACATTTATACAAATATGTTTCTCCTTTGAAAAGAAAAAAAATTTTAACAAATTAAATTTCTGAAAATAATGATTTGGTCATCAAAGTTTTTCTAGACAAATATCCTGATAGTAAAATACATGAGCACTTTCTAATGCCACTTAGAATGCTATAAGCGTACTAACGTTGCATACACTGGGGTTAACACCCTATGGCATTACCTTGTTTTGCTCTCACATCCTCAAAAAAGCCTTGAGGTAGGCACCATGACCCGTAACCCAAGCTGACAGGTTAGCACCCTGAGGTTCATTCAATGACCTGACAGGGCATACGCTGGCCCATCAGCAGTTAGAACTCATCTACTGACTGGCCCAAGCCTTGCACTGGCCCTACAATGTTAATGCTGGCCTCCCTGAATATTCAATTATATACAAGATTTTCTTAGATTTAATATTATTGAAAGGATAAAAGAGATCTAAGAGAATTAAGTATTTAATTAAAAAAAAACAATTCATCTAATCCAAGTGAGCTTTACATTATTGTACCGATAAATATTAGTGGCTATCATATGGTTTTAGAAGACTGCTTGCACTGTTTTCCCTAAAAAGTGGCATATTTTCACACAAAAATTTTACTGGGTAACTCATGAAAATCAATCCATTGAGAAGGCTGCACACAAGAATGTGGTGCTACTGAAGCACAAACAGAATAAAAAGTAGCTCAGCAACGTGGTGCCAGTGTAGAACAATGGATATTTCTGAACGTATAACACCTTTTTATAAAAGTCTTCGTACAAATCCAAAATGTTCTTAATGTCCGAAGTCTTCAATTTTATTTAAGTAAAATGATGGAAAACAAAAACAAAGAGCTCCAGGTAGGAATATATTATGATGTAACCCATTCAACAGGTGAACCGCCAAGTGAGGGAAGAATGAGAGTAGCCAGGGTTACCAGAAAGATCTCCTTACTGACAGCCCTCCTCAGCACGTGTAACATGAGTTCCAAAAGCTGTCAGGAGGAGCATTTTGAGAGACAACATTTTCCAATAATCAATCATTTACCCTATTCTGAGCTACTGATCGATACAAAACACTGATTATGGAAGACAATACATCACGTGGAAAAGCTGTGGAAAATCATCACATCCCTGCATACAGCCACAAAACGAAGAAAGCACTTAGCATCAAGGAAACCAATGAAGCCAAGGGGACTTCCTTGGGCTAAGGACAGCAACATTCTACTTACTTGCATTGTGCATGATAGTACTTTATAAGATTCTGCAGCAGGTCCACACCCTTTTTGGTCTTGATTTCATTAACTTTAATTAGATACTGTGAAAATAAAACAATTTCATGTTTAACATTCCAGACAGGATGCCTGCGTTTCGGGTTCAGGCAGCAGCACACACTCACGACCCTACACAGGTAAGTGGGGCCTTGTGGCCGCTGGACAAGCTTCATTCAGGGAATGCTGATGAGGCAGTCATAGAACACACAAGACAGCTGGATTAAGCGTTAGTGCTTTATAAGCTTTTACAATTAGTTCACTTGATAAGTAGAAGTAAAACAGCAAAACCTTCTAGGACAGCTAATTATTTTTCCTTCGTACACAGTGGATCTCAAACTTTTAAGTTATATGATTTTGAGGTGGGCTTTTCTTTGTGGAAAACAAGAATAGCATTTTCTCTAAAAAAGTGACTAAAAATGTTGACATTTTTAAACTCAAGAATGAGTAAAATACAAATTTACATTATTAATTTATTCAGCTAACTAAACAGTACTGGTTCTGCTTTCCTTATTGACCAAAATTTTCTATTGACAGTTCGTATGTATGTATGTATGTATGTATGTGTTTATTTATATTTGGTACAAGGTCTCACTACACAGGTTGGACTCATAGTGATTCTCCTGTTTGAGTCTCTCCAGTGCTGGGATTATAAGTGTGTGCCACAACCCATCTGTGTGCCCAGGGGTGGGGCCGGCGAGGCATGTGGTACAGGGGATGGAACCCTGGTCCCTGTTTGCACACCTGTACTCCCATCACTTAGGAGGCTGAGGCAAGCGTTCAAGGTCATCCTGGGTTACATAACGGTTCCAAGGCCAGCCTGAATGAACTATATAGTGACACCTTGTCTCAAAAAGCAACAAAAAAGTTCAGAAGAGAAGCTTGAAACTGAGAAAACTTTCTGTTGTAATTTTTTTGAAAGCTGAAAAAGCATATCCATTATGTAAAAGCAGCATCAGAAATGAGAGCAGGCCTCTAGGTCAAAGGGCTCTAATGTTCAGTGGAAATTCAGTTTGAGAGCCACTGGTCTAAGTTTAAGGAAACATGCTTTTCATTGCATTTTTTATAAACTCAGACTTTCTTAATGACGAAACGTTCATTCAAAATGAATTCATTAAAAGAATCAAAACAAACCATGCACTGAACATGTAACATCTGCCAAGGTTATCATTTATCAAAATTTTCCTCCAAAATCACTCACAAGCAACAGTAACGTTCTCACCAAAGAATCCTGTTTTGGCTTAAATGGCCCCATAGGACCAAGGCTCAAAATATGAGACAACAGTGCAATGGTGGTTCCCAAAGGCTTGGAGAAAAATGGAGATTAGAATCCTTAGGAAACAGTCCTCCATCTAGTTGAGCTCAGCCTGCCATTTAGCATAAAGTCTGCTCATAGGAGATTATAGCCAGTAAAATTCTAGATCAATGATGGAAAAATCCTTTCTTACTTCACACATTTGAAGCTGGAAGAGTCGTCTTTCCTTCTCCATTTCTTCTGCAATCTCAGCTCCAGTTATCTCTGTGCGGATCATCCCATGCTGTTTTGCATGTTCTCTTTTTTCCTTCTCAATTTTTGTACTGCAATTAAAGGAGATGTCATTACAAAAAGGAATCTAAAGTGAAAGTAAAAATGAACAAAATAATAAAAGGAGTAGAAATCATAGGTCACCATAAAGCAGGACATTTTACAAACTGTCAGCTAAAAGACAAAATAAAAACTGCAAAACTTGGTTGAACTAATCATCTTTTAGAAATAACACACACAGAACAGGAGATCAAAATGCAGGAACAATCCAGGAAGGCTGATGTTACATGGCGAGGAGTTCTGGAAGGGAAGCAAGGAAGAAAGGAAAAGGTGAAAACATTTACAGAAGTGAGCATTTCAGTTAAGAGTTGGAGAAAGAGGGTTGGCCTGATAGCTCAGAGGACTAAAGTGCCTGCTGAGGCAGAGCGTAGCGGCTGGGTTTGATGCCTGGTGCGCTGTGCCAGCTCCACCTTCGGGGTGTACTAGGGCGGGCGATTGAGGCTGGGCATGGTGGCATGTGCCTGTAATCTCAGCCCGTGGGAGGCTGAAAACAGGAGGGTCACGACGAGTCCGATCTACATAGTGTGACCCTGTAGACCTGTCCCAAATACAGAAAAAAAAAAAAAAAGAGTTGGAGAAATAAAAGGGACCAGCAGGACTGGGACAGTGGCTGGGCAGTTTCTACATACTTGTCAGAAGCATACTTGCTGCCTGGGTAACATTCCCCCTTCAGCATCTGTGGAAAGCCTTGTGTCCGTAGGTGTGGCTCAAGCTCACTGAGCTTAGCTTCTGAGGACAGTGTCCACAAGTGAGTGTGCCACATGGGTGCCTGGTCCATCCTAGTATACTATCTGCTCTACAGTAAGCGTTGAAACCACTGTTCTTTGGCATTTCTACAATACCCTGACAGAACAAAGCCTAACTGACAATACTAACTGATGCTTTATTTTATGACTTCATTATAAAATAAAAAAAACTTTATTGAAACTTTTGAGTGACTACCATATTGACAACTGCTCTCATCTATTACCTTGTCCTTAAAAAAACTTTGAGGAGTAGAAAAAATTTTACATTATTTTACAAGTGAAGTCAGGCATAGTGGTGTGCACCTGTAATCCCAGCACTTTGCAGGAGAGATCACCAGGAGTCTGAGGCCAGCCTTGGGCACAGTGAGTTTAAACTAAGGCCAGCCTGGAATTCATAGTGAGACTGTTTCAAAAACAAATACACACATACCAAGTATGGGTCATCAAAGCAAAAAATTAGCTTGGCTCATGGTCACAAAGCTGGTAATGACTCTTAAGTAGGAAAAGTCAACTATATACTTGTCTTCTGAATTCTAAATAGAAAATCAAAGAAAATGTCCAGCCTACTTAGTTATTTCAAAGGTCATTAACTGTAAGTCATTCTGCTTTCTGTGATATGTCCTACTACATTGAACAGACAAATGTGTTTTGTTTTGTTTTTTCCCTTCCTGTACCACTATGCTTTGTAAGAAAGAAATCTACTTCAGGGAAAGTAATTTGTTCACAGGATTTTTCTTTTTTAAACAAAGATACAAACTTCCCTCTTTAAGGCTGTAGTCCCAGGACCCAACTTCCATGCACAGAGACAAGTCAGCCCACAGCACCCCAGTACACTGGCCCGGCCTTCAGAACGCTCTGGACCTTGGCTTCATTTGTAACTGTGCATGCACAAAGGCATCCCTAGGGTGCCAAGTCCCCAAGAATACACTTTCTACACAAGCAATTATAGAAGTAGCTTGGGGAAAACATTCAATCCTGATTTTCTTCTGCTTCATTCTGCTGCTATTGCTGCTGACAGAAATATTTTATTGTCTTATGATTATAGTTATCCAAGATTACAGCCAGGACTTTCTTTCATTAAAAGCCTTAAAATACAGGTCTCTTCCCATTCTACCCTACCTCTATGATGTTATAAGTCCCTCAGAGTAATAATACTAAAGGAACATGGCATGACACATGCACTGGGAAGATGAGCCAGGCCCGACGCAGTTTACTTTGCTCTGCCCAGGAGGTCTGACTCTAGTTCCATGTTACCTGCTCAGGCTCAGGTCAGACAGACCTGGACTGAATGCCAGCCAGCCAGCCCACTACCTATTATTTCTATGACCTTTCAAAGCCCATTAGCCTCTCTTGGCTTCAGTTGCTGATGTATGAACAAAGGGTGAAAGCGGCACCCTAGGAGGTTGCTGTTCAGGGGTTATGCACGTAAAACACTGCAGGCCGGGAAGGCAGAGGGTACCGTATCATAGATACTGGCTATCGCTCTTATTATTTCCCAATTGTTATACTGCGCAAGAACGTAAATGTCGATAGTTGTACGGTAGCTATCATGAAAGAAAACTTGTAAGTCATAGGCTGATAACAGTACCAGCAGCCACAAATGTCAAAAACAATTGATAGTGAATGTATCTGTCATTCTAATGAGCACTAATCGCTCTTAATCGGTCAGAGTACCCAACCTCTTCGTCTGTATAAGGATATACTAAATGTTTTTGTTGTTGTTAAGAATAAAACAAACAAAAATAGAAAGAAAAACAAAAAAGAATACTACTTACAACTTTGTCTCATAATCTTTCCAGGCTTTGTCAAATGGCTTCTTGAGATCCTTAAAGAAAAAACGAAATTGCATTTATTTTCACTTAAAATGAATTTATTGAAATAAAATCTTGGCAAAAATGATTTTCTTTATAGGATATATAAAGCTCATGCAAGACACTCTGTTCATATTATAGCACTAATTGCAGAGAAGCCTGAGTAGCGGTCAGAAGGGAAGACTCGCTATGCCACCGAAGCAGGGCCCAGAGGTTCCAAGAGTGTGGCCCAAGGTGGGCACCTGGGGACCTGGCCCACGCCCCGCTTGCCTCTCTCCCCCAGCGAGGTTCTCTCTCAGTCCTCCCAGGCATTTAATCTTGTTCCCCTGCCAGTACCATTACGTGAAGCACATCATTTCTAACGATCATTGTCCATGAACATTTTGGTAATGCAAGTAGTGCTCAGAGTGCCTTTCAAACGCAACTAGTGCTATGATCTTAAAAGGGAAAGAAAACTGATCCTTTCAAGTGAATATGAGAGGCTGGTGAGATGGCTCAGTGGTCTAAAGCACCTGCTTGGAACGGGCTTGGCAAAGCACAGGAACCGCGGTTCAATCCCCCAGCACCACAATCCAGCCAGCCCCACCCCTGGTGGGCTGAGCTGGCCACACACTCAAGTGAATATGAGAATCTGTAAACACTTACTCCTTTGACTCCTTTTAGGTCTCCTTTTAACAAGGAATCCAAGGTGAAGATCACATTGTGGCTCAGACCCTGGAGCTAAAAATCAAAACAGAGAAAAGAAATTACACACGAAACCATGAACGTGGCTCCTCTGACTGAGCACTGCCCACGTAAGGCTCCGAGGAAGCCCTTCGCCTCACCCGACTTGAACCACCTCTTCCTAGACAGGTGCAGGCCATCCTGCGCTGTGCTGAGGCGGGAAACAGAGTGAGCAGAACTCTGACGTGAATTCAGGCTGTGTGGCTGCAGAGGCTGTGTTCTGAGACACGTGCTACAGGATATGTATACACCACTTCAGCACAGTCACCCCCACTTCTATTTACACTGTAGATATTAGCTGAACTGTTCTACAGATGCCTGTTAGAGTAACCTAACAGGCTTTCAGTAAGCGTCAGTATCTGAAATCACTGTGTGTGTTCTGCTTCCTGCATGGAGCATAAGCTCCACGAAGGCTGGAACCTTGCCTGTTCTGCTCACCGCCAAAGCCTCCGTGCAAGAGTCCACTATAAACACAGCACCATTACCTACACTTATGTCTCTCAGAGTTCCACCTATTCTCTTCCAGCAGATTGTGTTTCTGTTTTAATATTTATTTGTAAAATTATTCTAATATTTCGATCTTTGATCCATTTCAATTTTAGTTTAGCATCGTGAGAGACAGGTCTAGTTTTAGTTTTCATATGGAAGGCCAGTTTTTCCAGCATCATTTATTAAAGAGCCTATCTCTCTTCCAGTGAACATGACTGGGCCTTTTGTCAAAAATAAGATGACTGTTTGGAGTTCTTTCTGTACCTTTTAATCTGTGCCATTGATCCTTGGATCCGTTTTTCCCCCATTACCATGCTGTTATCACAATAGATTTGTTGTATTATTTCAAGTCAGGGATTATGATGCCCCTGTCTTGCCTTTGTCACCCAGACTTGTTTTTGCTATTTTAGGTCTCTTTTGGTAACAACTAAATTTTAGGAAGGTTTTCTCTCTCTTTTCTTTTTGGCAGAACGGGGGATTGAACTCAGACCCTTGCACTTGCCAGGGAAGTGCTTATTCTAATAAGCCATCTTCCTGCCGCCCACCCCCCATTTTCTCTTATTCTAGGAGGTACACTACTAGTATTTTGCTTGAGATGGCATTAAATTTGTATAACAATTCAGGGAGTATGGCTATTTTTACTATGCTGGTTCTTCCTACTGAAAAGCAAGGCATATTTTTTCATTTTTTAATATCTTCTTTGATGTCCTTTTTTGGAGTGCTGTAGTTGTCAATGTAAATTTCTTTTACTTCTTTTGTTTGACTGATTCCTAAGCATTTTATAATTTTGGATGCTATTGTGAAAGGTGTGGTTTTCCTAAATTCTTTCTCAGTGAATTTATTATTTGTGTATCAGAGTGCTATTGGTTTCTGAGTGTTGACTTTGCATTCTGCTGCGTGACTAAACATGATTAGAAGTCTGTTGGTGTAGTTTTTGAGGTCTTCAAAGTAGAGTATCATATCATTCACAAATAAGGATAATTTAACTTCTTTCTTTCCTGTCCTTATTCCTTTTATTTCTTTTTCTTGTTTAACTGCTCTGGCTAATGTTTCCAGAAGCTTTGCCGTGATAGTGAACATCCTTGGTTTGTTCCTGATGTTAGAGTGAAAGCTTTAAAACCAGGGAGATTTTTCACTGTTCTGAGGCGGTGGCCTGGGGCTCCTTGACTTCAAGATACATACAGTTAACGAAGGAGGACAAGTTTGACCTGTTACTTAGCTGACAGAACAGTGCCAGAGGAATGGGCCAGGTAATAGAGGGGTCAAGTGTGAAAAGAACAAGCAACATAAAAACTGAATTTAGAATATGGTCTGCCTTCAAGGAAAGCCCTATAATCTAGGTAAAATGAGTTTTAGTGGTATAGAACCAAGACTGAACTGCACTGTGGATCTTTATATTCAATAAACAAATTTATTTAATGTGTGTTCATTTGTTAATCTGTCTACTCACTGTCTATCATTCATTTAACTTATTTTATACCAAACACTATGCTAGAGATGGCCAGGCAGTGATGAGTAGGACATTCTTCTTGCCTTCAGAGGTCTTGCACTTTAGAGACAGGCAGTGGGTATGTGGCCACTGCCATAAGACAATGGTCTATAACACGTGACTGGTGGAGGGAGAGTATAGTGTGAGAGGGACCAGTGCTGACCATGATGGGCTTTGTGCTGGCCTTTGTAACCACATCCATAGAGTGAAAGGGTAACTATTCCTATTATGAGAAGCTACTGTGAGATTGGAATGAGCTAATATACATAAAAACATCCAGAAGTGCTGAACGCATGTTCATTTTTATACCACTATGGAATGTTACATACGAATAAGGCAGGGTGGGAACACAGAAAGGCAGGTAATAGGAAGACCTTCTCTTTGCTTTTTAACCTCTCCCTATTTCTTCCTGTTAGCTCTTTCTGCTTCCTGTACTTCATGTCTTTACTTTTGGGAACTCTATGTTTGTACACAAGGAAGGTTTTGCCAATGCACACCACCAGAGGGCTTGGATCAGAAACAACCACTCTTCCCTTCCTCCTGTGATTTTTCTCTTTCTAAAGCAATTTCTGCCAAGACAATTCTAACAGTGTGATTGTGACACCATCCATACAGAGCAACATCTTGGCTGGCAGGCCATAGGGCCACAGGCCGAGTTGATGTTTTATAGGATACAGGATACTGGCTTTTGTAAAGTGTGGCAAACTTACCATGATTTTATATTTGCGTGTGACCCACCAAATAGCCAGATTTAAAAATTATAGAGTGGTACTTATTAAAATTTCATAAGGGATGCAACAAGAGAAGAAAATGGCCCAAAGGCCAAAAAGTATTGAGGGAACACTATAGGTAATAATGGTGGGAAAAAGTGGAAAAACACTGCCACTGAACATAGGAGGAAAGATATAAAGATTCATTGGACTCATACTCTGTGATAGATGGGTAGCAGTATAAGATTTTGCTTTTAGTTTTCCACTTCATTCCGGGGTGACCAGCCTGCAGCACTCCCTATTCTCAGTATCTGAGGAGTTCATACGGATGGTTAGGCAGGCTGAGGCCCAAATAGGTCTCTGCTAACCAAGCCAACATCTAGCTATCTGTCCCTCATTCATGAAGATCTTTACCTTAGTTTTTTTCCCAAGGCTCTTAATACTCCTAATAATGTAAGTACTCGCTTCCTCAACCATTCACTATCTCACTGGCTGTCAGGCAAGCTTCTGAGAACAGAGTGTGCATGTCCACTGTTTGTTCCTTGTAGCCCTTACCAGAGTTTAGAACACTGTCTGGTGGAAAGGGGATTCTCAAGGACTTGTAGAAGGAATAAAATGTAGCACTAGGGTGCATGAGGTTCTTCTGTATAGGGCTGTTTTTACCAATGGAAATCCAAGTACCTCAGGCGCTAGCTAAATAAATCATAGAATTTTTAACCATCAACCACAAAATGAGAAAGCTCTTTATGCCTTATTTTAAACATATCTCTAAATAGATTTTTAGTGACAAAAGCACGGTATAAAACAATGTTTTCAGTGTACATGGATTTATATAAAAGGGGTGGGGTGTCTATGCTTAAATTCTTTCTGAACAAATATACAACGTATGATAACAGTTCACTCCAAGGATGAAAATTGAGCAAAGGGACAGGGTGGGAGAGAAGACTCAAAAAGTTACCACATAATTTACTGTTTATTCAGAAAAGGTAAAAATTTATAACAGAATATTACAAGACAGTGATTATAAATGCATTTTAAGTTTTGGTCTGAGATTATAGCTTTTTATCAGTATCTTAAATCCTTATGAAATAAAGCAAGAAAATATATTATTACTGTTACCTTGATTTGAAGGCTATTTTACAAAATGACAAAGAAGGAATTAGCAAATTTAGTCAGTGTTAAGTATGAAAGTTGCTCTGAGGGAAATCCTCTGAAGTCATGTTCTAACTACGCAATAATCTTTCAACGTCATCTCATAGTTAGGCATTGTGAGAGGACTATGGCTGCACTGGTAGAAAATGCCAAGAATTATGCGTTACTTCATGGTCATCTACACAGATATTCTTGGGAGCTAGCAAAAAACCAAGACGCTAAAACAGTTATGTAAAAGAAACTCAGAATTTCCTCCCAGTGCTCACCTTTGAGAAGGACACAGGAAGAAAATGGATGCTTACAAGTAACTTTCCAACTTCCCAGGAAAATACTAACTTAAAAAAGTACTAGTAACTATCATAAATATGTGGAGAAACACTGAAGAGGAAGTAGATCAAGAAACCTTCAGCAAATATTCACTGAAGGACAAAACAAACTTTTCTGGGAAGTTCAATGAAGATAAAAATCTGTTCTCTCAAACATTTAGGTATTACTTTTTGATAGAGATTAGCTTATATAACTTTATAGCTACAAGACCCTGTAATTTTCCTGTTTTTCTTTTGTAGTTCTTTTAGGAAACCTTTCACTGTCTGAACAAAAGTTTAGTAGCTGATATACAAAAGCCATCTCCACAGGAAAATAGAACACAGTTAATAAAACCAAATAATAATATAAGTGGAAAAACTTCATGTTATCAACTTCACTACCGTTCTTTAAAAAGCCTTCACTCAAAAGAAGAAATACAAATAGAAAGGTATAATACAAGTAAAAGGAAAGCAAGAACTTGAAGATGAACTAATTAAGAGAGGGAAAGGAGAAGAGCTAGGAAACATGAGTGACAAGCCATACAGTTATATGTAGAAGATGGGCAAGGCAATGATCCTGAGAATCTTCAGAAGAT